ATGCATGTTCAAATCCTATATATATATATATATATATATATATATATATATATATATATAAGCGGATCGTAAAATGGAGAGCTCATCCGTGGCTTTTAACTAAAAATAGGAGAGTAGCGTGCTAAGGCGAAAGTTGCTACGAGAACCTTCTATATGAATACGGGGAACGGGGAGCCACTAGGTCACCGTATGTGTTGTCATTGCGCTTGACAAGTGGTAACCGTTTAAAATTATTTCGCGTACTGAGGATTTATTGGCCCGACTAACTACAACAATATCGCGTTACTAACTTAGATGTATATATCAGGCGAAACGTAGAGATATTACATGGAAGGAAAGATATCGATATTGCATTTAATTATTGGCATTAAAAGAAAAATATTAACAGTAAAAATGTTTTTCGGAAATAAACTTTTTTTAATAAACACTTGTAAGTGCAAAAATATTTGCTTCTTATTAAATTTTTTAATAAGTTTTTTTTGTTTAGAGCGAAGGAAGAGATCTTAAAATCAATCAAGTAACATTATTGCTTTCACACAATCTTAGCAATTGGAATATCGTTTATAAATGTAAAACGAAAGTGTGTAATGTAGAAAGTGTGAAATGTAACGTTATATTATTACTTTAAGAAGATTAAACATAGCCTATTCAAACCGAGACACACACACGTGAAACATATAGTTTTTAACAACACAAAATCGCTTCGTTGCGTCGCATGATGAATCTCAAGATGCTTCTATCTACATACATAATTGACAAATCGCAAAACGTATTTCGCAAATGCTGACGTGCAATGATGATTATCGCACGCAAGATACATGCAGAGGAAAATCAACTGCACGTAAAAAAAAAAAAAAACAATTGTAAATTTTCCTTTTACGTTTGCGTTTGTGAACTACGTTTTGCGATTTATGAATTATGTAAAGTAGAAGCATCTTTAAGTTCTCACTATTATATAATTGTGCGATCGCAGTCTCGCGTTCAAATAGTTTTTCATAGTCTAATTTTATTGTTCTCACATTTTATTTGTTAGCATTTTCTAAAACTTAATTACGTAGCTATCAAATAATTATTTTACACGATTTAAATGTTTATTTTATGTAATTGATGATTTGATTTATTTGCGAAATAATACTGTGCTTTACTATATTCGTAAGCTACTCAGCGACAGATAGCTTTAATACCGCATTGTGTAATGTACGTACAACTAGAACGATGCGCACATACTTCCGGGTACAATATCGAGCCAATGAGCAAGAAGTCGAAATTATTATCAATATAAAAGATTGAGAGGTAGAAAAAGGTAGAAAAAGATAGTGCGGCGCATAATAATATTTTGCGTTTCACAATTTTTTGTTCATCCAAAGGTATATCTACCCTCTCTGAGCTCATCGCCAAGTCGCCGCGACTTGCCGGTGGCTCTCCCAGTTCAGCTGTGAGTATTAATTTCACGAGAGAAGGAGAGAAACGAGAGGAGAAAGGCGGGGAAGAAGAGAAGCTGCTGGACGAGCAGCAGAGGGGGCAGAACAAAACGACACTGAAGACCATCTATGAGATGAGAAAATAATAATAAAGTGGAAATGAGCGAGCCGGTCCATAAATTGCTCCGCTCCTTGTTAATGGTCTGAGGGCCCGAGGCGACCTCAGTTAAACGCGGCCCGGTCTGACCCGGCTTTGACTGTTGTCTTTCTCTTTCACTCTCCCGTCCTTTCTCACTTTCTCCATCTCCCTCCGCTTCGGACCTCTCTTGGTCTTGGGCCCGGCCGGAGAAGATCTGGTCCGACTCGTTCGAGGCGCTTATTCTCTCTTTCTCTTGGAAGGCTCATTTCTGTACTTAATGGACGTCCAGAGATGTTCCCCTTCCATACTAAATCTTTGGATTCTTGAGAGCCAGAAAGAAGGACTAAAAGGGTTCGGAGGACACAAAGGATACACGTCGATGGTAGGTACAGCCTGTGATTGGCGACCAGGCGTGGCTCTACCGACAGATATCCGCTCCTCTTTAAACGCATCAGAATCGAACGTACGCTGAATACAAGTTGCATTTTCAGACTATTCACTTTCGAAACTGCGCTTCTTGACAATAATATACACGCGAAACAAGTGATCAAAATCGAATAAGGTTTAAGTTTACGATTACTTTTACATACAACTATAATAAATGTTTCTTTTTAATGTTTTATATGAAATGAAAAAAAAAAGAGAG